CCCCCCACCAAGGCCGCGCGGCCGGGTCAGTGACCCCGCCAAGGCCGCGCGGCCGAGGTCAGTGACCTTACTGTAGTATGTATATAATACATAATAATGCAATATAAAGTATAATATTAAACGATTATTTACACACGCTTTTTCTGATAGGACATATTGCAACAAATCGAATAAATCAATCGCGCGCGGCGCGAAAAGACGCGCGCTCGAATCGCGCGATCAGTTCGCGTGACTAAGTAATTTGTTTTTTACGAGATGACACTTTCGAAACTCCCCTACGAACTCTCCAAGCGGAATAGAATAATCGCGCGTAATTTGCGAGAGAGAGAGAGAGAGAGAGCAAATTGGAATCTATTTTTAGAAACGTAACAATTGCGACGAAACATGTTTTCTTTTCGGTCGCTAAGTAAGCGATAAGTAACAATCGCTTTGATTAAAATCAAAGTAACCGTGTTTATCGGACCAGCCGAAAACAAAACAAAAAAGATAATCGCGCAATTCGCGTTATGTCATCTCGTTTGTCACTTTGGACGATCTCCACTTTTTTATCACAAAATCTTTTGACTATGCACTCGTGTGAGTGATGACAAAAACGCGCACGTTGCGAAACCGCACCGTGCGTTCGTCTTTGACTCACATTGACACTTTGCGTGTGTGTGTGTGTGTGTGTGTGCGCGACGCGATCAAAAACGCACAGGGTGGTTCGCGCGTATAAATTTTCTCGATTATGAGTCGCGCGCGCCGATAAGAACAATTTCGTGGGCGTTGCGACTGAAAAGTACGCGGCGACTGATACGCACATGCGATCGTAGATACGCACGATACCCCAAAGGAATTTACGCAGGGCATGGCAAGTTCATGCTTCAGGTAAATTTTTGTTTCGCGCTCGATCGTTTTCTCGACGATTGCAAAACAACGCGTATAACACGTCGCTCATTCCGTAATTTCACGAACGATCGCGTTGATTTTCAAAATGAACTCTCGACGACGACGTGTCCGTACACGGATTTCTCACGTTCGTCTTCGTTTCGTCGAGGTTATGTCTCGCTGCCTCTTGGAAAAATGTAAAAGAAAATCTGGTTCCACGCTCTTCTCTTTGCTCGTACAAATTTATTTAACACGTATTTTTTCCCATCCTTATTTTTTATGGTTTTTTGTTCACATTGTCAAAGTACTGTTGTAGACGTAACGTTTGGCGTATGTTCCATAGTGTATTTTTACGTGTCATTTATTTCCATTGTTAAAATTCTTGCAGCTAGAAATTACGTGTCTCTGTTTTTTTTTTTTTTCAGTGGGGTGGACGAATATGGTTTTGAACGGCCGCGCGATTTCGATTATGAAACCTATGAGGATTTCATGTCGGAGTACCTTAAGGTTCTCGCAAAAATGGCCAAGAGATGGGCGAAGATCATCGGCGAGGGAAAGTCGCCGCAGCGAAGCATCACCATAAAGAAGTACGTTCGCAAAGGGATTCCGGCGGAACATAGAGGATTGGTAATTGAATTTCGGTTTGTTGTCATTTCGCGTTCTAAATGAGAGCAAACTTAACTAAAAAAAATCACGAGGTCACAGGTATGGCTCGCTGTGAGTGGCGGAGAAGACATGAGAAACGCGTCGCCGGATCTCTATCAGAAGCTGTTACTGTCTCCGCACAATGCGGAAATAACCGAGATCATAAAAACCGATCTCCCGAGAACGTTTCCGGATAATATATTTTTTAATAACACAGAAAATCAGCAGCATCAATTGTACAACGTGCTGCTGGCGTTTGCTCATCAGAACAAAACTGTTGGATATTGTCAGGTAACATTTCGAAAATATTTTTCAAATCAAATAAGAAAGAAACTCGAGGTTTTCGTTTGTTTTTAGGGCCTAAATTACATAGCCGGGTTGCTGTTGCTCGTGACGAAAAGCGAAGAGACAGCGTTCTGGTTGTTGAAAGTATTAATTGACAAAATCTTGCCAGATTATTACACACGCACCATGGACGGTCTTCTCACCGATATTGACGTGCTCGCGGAATTAGTAAGGTACGGAGCAGCAAAATTTTTTTGAAGTTTTTTTTATTTGTATTGCCAACATTTCTGTAAAACTGTACGCACGTTATCTTTACACAGAATCAAAATACCTGATGTATATCAACATGTAACAAACCTGGGATTACCTTGGCCAGTAATCACAACAAAGTGGTTTGTGTGCTTGTTTGCTGAAGTTTTACCCATCGAGGTATGTGCCGCGATTATTGAAGTTTCTTGTTAACAATTACTTGTTACTCACATATCTGAATTCGCATACATGATTACGTTAAGTATCTCGCACACAAAAGCGCGCAACGTATGAAAAAAAAAAAAAAACAAACCACACGTTAAATCGTTTTTCTGTCAGACTACCTTACGTATTTGGGATTGTCTTTTCTACGAGGGCACAAAGATCATCTTTCGTGTCGCTTTAACGCTCATAAAGAGAAACAGAGCCAATCTGTTGGCCTGTCAGGATTTCGCGTCGTTGGCTGACTGCTTCAAGGAAATCACGAAAGACAGTATTGTTTTACGATGTCACGACTTTATGCAGGTTGCTCTCTTTTAATATATTCGCATGCGAATCGCAACAAGTGTGAGAGGAGCACAAGTGTGTGTGTGCAATTTTGAAAATCGTTTTGCAGAGTATTTTCAAAGTACCTGGATCACTGCCTGGTAGCACGATAGCGAAGTTACGGACGAGAGTAACGCAAGCGCGCGCGGAACAAAAGCAGGACAAACTAGGACGATAGTGATTTACAATGATCAAGTGTTTTTGCACATTACACCGAGATATATTCTAGTCTTTTTTTTATTCACCTGTATTGTTTTGTTAAATTGTATTTTTTTCGCATAAGTGTTCTATATTTTATTATTGTACATACAAATGTTTATGTAACGTAAGAAGAATGCATAGACGTAAGACTTTACTCAATTTTACATATACATTATAATATTGTATATACAAACTATATTGAAGGATAAGATATAAAAAAGTGTCAAAAATTATATTATTAAAGCGTAATTGTGATACAAACTAGAATGCGAAAGTTACATAGTATTGTGATAATTGTAAAGAGAAAATGAGAGTATTAGTGTTAATTCTGAGAAAAAAAAAAAAAGAGCAATATATTATATACACATATATCAGTTACATTATTTAGTTATATTCAGCGCCTTTAATTCTTTCTAGAAATTTTACCAGTAGATCTTCCGTAGGACTTTAATCCAAATGTTAAGGGAATCATGAAGGAGACATCGAAATTCTTATAAATGACTATAATAAGATGTACTAAAAATAATTTTATTTATTTATAGAACGAAGTATACATTCATATGTATATATATATATATTATAAGTTACATGACTATGTACATTGAAATTTGGTTCCTAAAAAATATATATATACGAATTAAATATACATATAACTGTCTAATTTTATTATGTATTATTTCTCGAGCAGGTCTTTTGCCTCATTAATTTTTGCAGCAATGTACGGAGAACCGCCGCGATCCGGATGATTCACGGACATCACCTTCTTAAACTGTTCCTTCACTTTAGCTTTACTGGCAGTAGGAGATACTCCCAGGATTAAACTAGCTTCGCGCCTGGTCATTTTTGGCTCAAACCCACCCTTGTAGTATTTATTGTTTGCTAGCGTCTGACAAACATTAAGAAGCATTAGTGCTTTTTCACACGCAAACTTATTGCCAAAGACCTATTTCTACCTGAGAATCTAGCTTTTTTACTGTCTCTGCCATTCTCTGCGACAGGTTTGGCATCCTCCTGGCCAAATAACGACCGGCAAAACCCACAGCGGCGAGACCAATACCTGCTGCCACAAGTGTACTTGCCTGAAAAAAAAAGAAGTTTTAATTTAATATTCCAAACGCACGTCTAAAGAATGTCTTTCTTTAGAGACATTTCGAGGTATGTAATTATTATATGGACTTAACCTTTAATTTTCTTAACCATACAACTTGATGACATAGTTTCAGCATCAAAGTGACGATGACATTTTACAGAAATTACAGAGACGCTTTAGCGGCAAAATTGTTATTGTTTTCGAAAAATATTTACAAACTTACTTATGTCGAGAAGATGATGAAATAAGCAATTTACCTTTGACAATTTTGATATCATTTATTCTCGCTTTTACACTTGTTGATAAAGTTTAAAAACAACATGCAGTTGACGTACTTTTTCAATGTTTAAAACACAATGTTCGAACTATTGAAACAGAATTTTTTGAGAAAGATTTTGAAATTCTTACCATTTTTTTTTTTTACTCCAAGTGTCACAAAACGACAGACGCAATTATGTGCAACACGTGCTTGTGTATACCGGAGTCCTAAATAATTTTAGCGCGTCTTCACAATAAGCTATGGTCGCTCCATCTGAGCAACACCGAAGTAATTATTGCAAATACGCGCATATTGTGATATATCAAATATAAATAATTATAAATACGTGACACCCCGCATGAGATTTACGACTTAAACTTTGGTTGTTTGTCTTGTCAAAAGAAAATACTAGAAAAAGATATGGCCGATATAAAAGCCCGGACACAATTTTTTTCTATTATTTTCGCATTCGTTTTTTTATGTGATAAATATTTCTTGTCGCACAAAGTTAAAATAAAAAAGATTAAAATTAAACTTCTCTCATTTTATAGATTTTTTTTCTTTTCTACAAAAAGAAAAAAAGAAGCATTTATCTCGCTTCGGTTGTTGGACAGAGACAAAAAAAAAGACGAAAGGAAGCAAAAGAATGACCAATCGCGGTGAACGTTTTAATCGAACAACCGGCTTTTCAAGCGGATTCTGGCAATTGACTCAAATGGTTCGTTGAAGTTGGGGACCAATCGGCACCGATCGATCAGCCGAATCGACCAATCACGTTTCACAGGCCGCCAAGTAATTTCGGAAGTGATCAACGATCTCGAAGTTCCTAAGGCGCGGTGACTAGAGGAACTACACAGGCTTGATGGCGTTTATTGAAAGTAACAACGTGGACGAAGTACGTTTAGTGAATTCGGGTGATGTATATATATATATATATGTATATACATATATACATATATATATAAAGAAATATATGTTGTACATACTTAACACACAGTGATATTACGAGAAATGCACGGAACGAATCGTGCATAGATATGTTCCTCTTCGTACGTGTGTAGCATATTGATAAAACACGTTGTGTCCGGCGTTCTATCTAAAATGGATGGAATCTCTGGATCATACCATTGAGACGATCCCCGAAGTATGCCGAAGCTATGGACAATTTACACTGTGGTTTGAGTGACGATATACGAATGAGTAAAGAAAATTCCGTTCCGATAAATTTATATTGGGGTACAGGTCTTTCGTATTCTCACCTCACCTTTATCCAACAAATGCACCCCGCAACAAGGCTGTATCGCGTGTGTTTCAAAATTCACTGCCATTACCGAAGAGAGTTTTGCGCATGTTGGTGTGGATATTGAATTTTGAAATACAGCCTGTAATACGCGTTTAGTTTACCCTATCCACGTCATATGTGTGTACACTGTAGATTTGTTCGAAACAAATAAACGCAATACGTGTGTCGCGATAAAAGCAAGGTGAGAATACCAGGCCATTGAATTAATGTCGGCTTGTTTCTCAATTGATAACATCTCGCCAAACATCTTGTACTCGATGGCTGGCGAGATCGAGCATCGCGTATAAATTTTATATCGTAGTGAATGTAACAGATCTTTATTAGGATCGAGAGCGAGACAACGTCGGACGTATGGATTTTCTTCTTTGATCGGGAGGAGCTCTCGATGATACTATCGATGTCACAATTAATATCGCTCTCGGCTCGGAATTAATCGGTCCCTTTCCCAGCCTCTGTCCCGTGAAATCACGTTTCTTCGATACGTGATTCTTCGATTAGCGAATACAAATGAACCACATGACCACGAGAATTGGAGCAGAATAATTGTTCGTAATATCAGCGCGGATAAATGCAAACACGAGTTTTTTCTAAGTAAACCGGATAAGGAAACGATGAATTTTTACAAATTTTTTTTTTTTTTTTTAAATAAAGCGATCTCTACGTTACTTTGTGGTTTTCTCGCACAATTCAACATTTTTGCGAGATCAGTCGATGTAAAAAATATTCTCACTTCTTGTACATGGCTGACTCGCAACAATGTTGAAACATTGTGTCGCAAAAACGAGCTCGTAAAATAAATTTTTATTACAGTCGTGAAGTTCAACGTACAAAGCTCCGAACGCGTATCTTCCGCCACGTAGAAATCTGCGACACAGAATCCAGTCTTTTAATAACCGTGGGAAAAAAAAAAAAAAGAACACGATAGAGCGATTTGAATTCGTGAACTTTCGAAATATCTTCTCCTCGAAGTAAAATCGTCGCTCCTCCTTTCCTCTTCCGCGTCTTCGTCGTCGGGCGAGAGAGAGATATATATCCGTTCCGGATTAAACGGAGTATAAATATGATCTATAACACACTTTTGTTCCGCCTAACGAGTCGCATGCGCCGCGCTGTTGACACGATATATCCATATCGCAAGAATATTGTATTTGCGAGCAACACACACGTGCGCACACGCACATAGACGGCTAGGCGAAAAGTAGGTTCCACGCGCGCGCAAAGATAACGCGCAGCGGAGACTCCAAGGATAAACAAGCGTGAACGTGTCGACAATCACGCATAAGAATTAAATTCATTTCGTACCACACGACGCGAGCGAATACATATATGTAATTGTAATATTCGTACAAAAAAGAAGACTCTGTAAGATCTCTAGATTATGCTCATTGTAACACAATGTGAATTCTCGATTCTCCTTGCGAATCAATGTTCTCTTATCTCTTGTTGTTGGCAGTACAGTATAAACATTTGAAACAATAAAACCAACATTGCTTCCTTCCATGTTTATGGTAAGGATTTTTCAGTTGACATTTATAGTCCGCGATTACTCACTTATGTAAACTTGTGTGTGGTGGCCTCTAAACCCAACCACACGCTCTTTACATACGTGTATACACACATACACTCCGACGGAGCGTACACACACACACACACAAGAGTCGACTCGATACAAGCATATAAGTGGTCATAAGTTTCGGAAGGATAATTTTACATCGGTCTAGATGTGTGCGTGCGCGCGTGTGTGTGTTTGATCGGTCGGTAAACGTTTTTACACGCAATGCACTTGCATGCGGATTTACGGGTGCGTCTTCTTCTCGCGAATGGTGCCCCCGCGAAAGGTGCTCCATGTACGTTTCTCCCGCGGTCTTTCACTCTTTTGTTTTGTTTCTCTCGGGGATGTCGGCGCGCGTGCGCATGCGAGAGAGAGAGAGAGAGATAGAGAGAGAGCGAGAGTTGAAATCACACGCTCCTCGCGACGCGACGCAAATGGCATTCGCGCGCGCGTTTTAGAACGAAAAAAAAAAAAAAGGGAAAAAGATGGACTATACAGAAGATGACACATACGGCGACTCTCCCCCACATAGAAGCGCAGAGCGCGGACTCCTCTTCGTATTTATAGTCCATCCGTTTTCACGTACGTTGCTCCCATCGTTGCGAGGCATCGCCGATACGACACGCACGCGTGTGAACGCGTGTGTACTTACACGCGTATACATATAGAATTGTGCGTGCACGGGAGCCCCGCGCGAATCTCGTGTAACGGGCGCGCATACGTAACGTGCGCTCCGGAGCCGTCGTTACGCTGCTAAAATAAACGCAGCACGCGCCAAACGACGAGATTTTGCCGGCGATTGTCGACGCGACGCGACTTCTCTCCCGCGTCGTACTCCCATCTCTCTATCTCTCTCTCTCTCTCTCTCTCTCTCTCTCTCTCTCTCGGGATCACTCGCACGGCTCTTTTCTCCACTTGTCTCAATGATACCTTGTAAATCTCCGATGACGGCGCATGTTAAACGACATCGGTGTTTATTTGTCGAAGACTCGGAGCGATTTCACTTTCTTCGAAATCGCTCGAGCGCCTTTTTTGATGTGTGTTTCTTTATGTTTTTCAACAATCTAAGACGTATTCGAATATTAGTCAGTAAACTGTTGTAATTAGTTGGAAGATTGTGATATATATTAAATTTTTTGATCATCGCTAGATCATTACCGTACTTCGTTCTCCGAGGCGGAGGTCCTTCGTCGTTATCTCGCAAAAGATCGGCAGAGGATCCGAGAGAGGATCTTTATGTTTTTTCCGAGAGATGGATCATCGATCTGCGGCAGATATCAAGTGCAACGACCCGAATGCGTGAAGTTGCATTTTGTAAGAAAGGATGTACGGCGTCGGCGTTGCGAAAGTCGCGGCGTTTTTCCTGGCGAGAAAATCCGCGCTCGAATAAAGCGACACGAAGTCGCCGGCGCAAGTCGAACGCGTAATGTGCACCCATCTCGATTTAATAGACAGCCTTGCTCGCTTGCGATAGACACGTTTTTCTAACTCTCCCGAGCCTAGCGGTTAGCGTCCGACGAGAGTCATCGAATATAACGATAATAGAAGCCTGCAAGAGAAATAACAGTTTTTGTAAAAACATGGATTATAAAATGTTTGGCAACTTCTTGTGTAATCCGCTAAATGTCTAATAATCTACAACGAGAGACACACAAACGTTTTTTATCCGCTCTTCCACGGAATTATATCGTTAGGAAATATTCGCAGAGTGTGTCTGTTCGCTCCTGAAGAAAAAAATATCGTGTTCCTTCATTCCGATTGTTTTGCGCGATAAGCCACGCATCGAACATCGCGTTGCTAAAGTTTCACGTGACGATAAGTATCGTGTACTTGTTACAAGAAACTTTGTATAAAGCTCGAATACGTCATCCGTTTTTTGTTTGTTGTTTAGGAAACCGATTTGTACGTGAACAAATTCGTGGATGAAACTGGCCTCATTCTCGACGAAGTATCATTCGGACTCTGCGTGTATACAAAAAACACATGTAAAATCTATTATACGAATTTACGGCAGAGAGTTCGCTTAAGTAAAGGTTCCCTTATTCCCCCCCCCCATTCTGTTACAAGCTTGCGCGACACTGTACCGCGTATACTGTAGTATATACAGGTTGGGTTAGGTTTATTCGGCTTTCGAAGTAGTATACGATGATTCGAGGGGGCAGGAAGCGCGAGAGGAGAACTTGACCTAAGTGAATCGTTTTCCTTGACTTAAGCGAAACTCCGGCGCAAAAAAAAATTTTACGACTACGTATTGTAGTACATACACGTTGTTTCGCTATTCTAAAGGGTTAATGTATACAAACACTTCGCTTTGTACACGTTGCTGTTGAGAGCAAGACTGAAAAAGGGGGGGGGGGCAAAAAGGGATTTTAAAAGATCAATTTATAAATTTATATTACATTTACGCGCTCGTACGAAAAAATCTGCAGCTTCTTTTATCACACTATACTGCCGCAGGATTCTTCGTACACACACAATTCTCGTCCCAAAACAAAGTACTCGTTCCTTTTATATAAACGTAATCTAATTTAATTTGAAGCTAGAAAAAAACGTTGCGAAGCAGAAAACTTTGAAGCAAAGAGCGATTTTCGAATATAAAAATTGTGGCAATAATTCTCTTCGATCGCGTACAACAGTCGAAAAGAGATTTTATTTATATTTAACAAATTATTTCGAGTTACGCAAAAAAAAAAGTTAACGCGAAAAGTATTTTATCTCGACTTGGTGAGTTTTTTTTGTCTTATCAATTTGAAGTTTTCGGACAACAATTGACGCGTGTCATTGAACAGAATATTTTGCGCATTTATAAAATGGTATATGTGTATAACCACCTCAGAGAAAATAATTTGAAACGCAATTTGCAGATACGAGGAACAAGGATGAAACACCGTGGAGCGAACGACGTAATCGTCGCTTCTTCTGCGCCGCTGTCGAGCATCAGACCGCCGGGAGAGGGTGGCCGGGATAGTCATGGTAGGGACAATACGTCAGCATGTCGCTGCCTGCTATCGCCTCTCCTCCATTACATACAACCGAGGCAGCAAACATGGCGAGTCAGTCGCTGTTTACGGCGTGAGCAGCCTACGGCGCTTGGACCGGGGCAGCCAGTATTCAGTGTGCGAGCAGAACTCTCAGTGGGTGATGTGAGCTTGTGCCATCGTATATTGACGATTTTCGGTGATTATTACGATTATGGAGTTACCGAGGAAGTACGCGGCGACGAAAAAAAGGGTGGATGGACACCATAGCGTGAAGCGAAAAACAGCAGAGCTGACGCCTACCAGAGCGTCGCCGAAGCTGGTGCTGCGATCTGTGGGTGAGGACGCGGAATCAACCGCCATACACCCGGACGAGCTAAAACCAACGTCAGAAGTAAGAATTCAAAATCCGTTGCGATCCACCACGTTGCACATTATTTAATCAACTCTCGTGATCTTTCACAATTCTGTTGATTGTTACTTAATGTTATTTAATAATTTTAATTTAGTTTACCGGCTGGATTTGTCATTTCCAATTTAACTTAATTCGATCGCGTGTTCCGTTGGAATTGACCAATCCTCATTGGTAGTTGAGCTGAATCGGCCACAATCGAGCAATTACGGAGAATATTCGATCGGTCGATTAGCTTAATCAGAGACGGTAAAATTTCATTTTGTAGCATGTTAAATTTATGAAAAAAAATTTTTTACTGTATATAACATGTATATATGTTTCTAAGATTTCTAGGACCCTAACAAAACGCTCTTTTGTGAAGATTTCAAAATTGTCTACTTAAGACTTGTTTTTTTTATTTGTTACAGAAGATTGCGTCTAAAATAAATTGTCGCAGAAAATATAATTCTAAATCGTAATCTTACTTATTATAATTATTTTGAAATATTTTCTATGTACATTGTGGCCCAATTAGTGGTCCAATTTATCATATGTATTGTTTGTAAGACCAGAATGATACAGATATTGGATATTTTTTTTACTATGTATTTATAAATAATCGATTTTTCAACAATCTCACAAATGTAAAATAAAAGAAAATTATTAACACATGCTGTTTTTTTTGTAGTGCCGAAATTATCGGAGGAAAGTCGACACTGTAGACACACACGGAAGATTGGAAAGCGGAAGTGGAAGCGGCGAACAGGATGGCGGCCAGCACGATGACGGAATAGACAATGGAACGAAGAAGAGAAGAACTCGCAGAGGCAAACCCAAGAACAAAAAATTCAAGGCGTATTCTAAACTAATATCCTTGGAAGAAAAGATCTCAGCAAACAGGCAGCCACCCGCTCCGTACAATACCACGCAGTTTCTCATGGCTGACCACAGTGACCTGCCTGATCTTGAGCAAAAGTTGTCGAAAGCAACATCGCTGGATATTCCCGCTTCTCTGTTTCAGAAACCGGCAACGCGCACTCGCGACTCCAGTTTTAGCATAGATTCGAACGACGACGAGTATTTTTATTCCTCACCCGAAGACGAGGAGGAGTTTTTAACGAAAGAGTTCTCGTCCGCTTATGAGGCTCTACGCGAAGAACGATTGAATTCCTTAACAAAATCGGAATTGTTGCAGGAGTACAGACTTTTAGAAGCTAAACTGGAAACATTAACAAAGAGGTTACGGAACAAAAGTACCCCTCAACTTGACGGAAACGATGGGGCGGAAAGTAAGAACGTTCCCGCTTTGGATGCCGAGATAGCGAAAAAAGATTCGGAGAGCAAGAACACATCTAACACGGATATCGAAGTTACGAAGAAGTTGAAGCTGTGTCAGCAAAGGGTGGACGACCTGATACAAAAGACCAAGCAGCTGAGCCAGGAGAACGAGCAATTACGAAAATACGCGGAGGAAGCACAGAGATTGAGAAAGAGCAGCTCCGAGTCTACCATTGATACCGAATGTGATAGTAGTGATAGCGACAGCTCTACTTCTAGCGATAGCAGCCGAAATTCTTGTAGCGGGTGCTCCTTTGTATCAAGTACGCAAACATCTCCGAATCGCTCTTACAAGTCTAGATTAGATAATAATAAGGAAAAAACGGGTGATAGAATCGATAGCTGCGAGACTAGCCAAAGCGGAAGTCCCCGAACATGTACGACACCCACTAACTTTTCTAACGGTCTTACGATCACAAACGAAACCGGCGGATTACCCACCTAGATTTTAAACCCGTTTACTCGGACATTAATGCGTTTTCTAAGTGAAAGAAAAAAAAGCAACACACTTAATATTCGATATGTTCAATAAATGTCGAGAAAAAGCGCGATTCTTGAAGAAATAATATAATAAATGGGCAGCAATCGAGCTTTTTTTCAATATTTCTTAGTTTTTGTTGTATATTTTTTATTTGTGTTAGCTTAGTTAATATTCTATTATCTTATATATTATTAATAAAATCATCATGGTCTTATATCTCGGTTAAAAGTCTCCTCGTTGTTTTAAATTTATTTATATATTTTGTTTTTATATCTTCTCTGATGAAAAATTCGTACTTTTGAGGTCAGCAAAGGGTCTATGTATATATATACATAGCGTACGATAAAATGAATCCAAAAACGAACTCGAGCGTGTCTTTCTAAACGACTTACTTGAATTCGTGATATTCCTTTGTAAGTTACACAGTCGTGCATTAAGGAGTTTCTTGGATACTCGCCATTAGCTGTCTTGTGCGAATTGCACAAATCAGTTAAAAATTAATATAATATTATTTTGAAGAAAAAAATTTATTTTATTTTGACGCAAAGTGCAGGCATTTTAAGCATATATATTTTTTCGCGTATTTAAACGTCATTTATTTAAACGTCAAAATGATTATCGCAAGTATCCAGAAACACATTAATACTCTTGCAATCATCTAGAATATCGAACATTATATATCTAGATGCTGTGCCTGTATAATAACCATTCACAACAAACAAAAATTTGGTTAACTACCTGATAATACATTCGTTTTCGAATACATTTTATGATGTTTTACGAATAGTTTATAGTTTTTTGATTTGGAAAATCTCGAAACCAATTCCAAAACAATTATCTGTTCAACATCTATCGACGAGATTATATCACTCCGATACCTGTCGCTTCTCCACTTTGGCATATCTCCTTTTTTCCTTTTAAGACTATACATATAGTTACGTGACTACATATGTATGTGTAATAATAACAATTAACAATATATGTATATATATATATACATATATATATATATATATTTGCATATAGAATTAATGTTTCCTAGAAAGATCACTCGTAAATATTTATGCTACATTAACTGCTTAACACGGAATTTAGATTTACATTCGTACTGTAAGAGATATATTATTACGTTTCTCTCTTCCTTGTTTTTTTAGCACAGTATATACAAAGAAATTTGCGTTTATTTCAGGCTGATTTTTTTCTGCGTGCTGTAAATCGAGAATTGTTGTTAAGTTCATATAAACGTGGTCTACAGACCATCAACTAACGAGGATCTACATTCATATATATATATATATATACACACGCAAAAAAGTGATTTATGATATCGATGATTCTTTTAGATTCACGCGGATATATTATATAGAATATATATATACACATGTACACACACATACACACACACACATATATATATATATATATATTAAATTATATTATATTCTAGAAAGTTAAAAAACTTTTTGTACAATTGTGTATAGTTTTTTAGAGGATAAGACGAAACGTTAGTTTATGGTCTGAAAATGTAAGATATGTCAAGATGTTTTAAAATTTTCGATTTTTAATAAATCTTTTGAGTTTTCTGTTCCATATTCACATCTATGTTTTCTGTCATTTATAAACTTTTTTTTTGTGTTATTACGCTTCCAATTGTTTCCTTCATTTCCAATCCCAGATAGAAGATTAAATTATATGTAAATTAAAACAAAAAGGTATTGAGTCAATTTATTGAATTAAAACCAGAGTTATATAAAACTGTGTTACATTTTATTTCATTTTTTTCTGCTTGATCAAATGATTTTTAAGAGCTAGTTGTTTCTCTCTGAAAGACCGTTTTACTTTCGATTTCAATTTATGTTTCAACATCAAGAATGCTTTACCTTTTTTCTTCTCGCGATTTGTTCTACTGCACAGTGGATTCTGTCGACGATCTTTGAAGCCGAACTGATCTCTTCCTTCTTGTCCTTTCTATAAAATTTAGCGACATCTTGGTTATTCATTCCGATTCTCTGCGTCATGTGAGATTTAATGTTTTAGATACGTACCTTTACCGATTTCTGTCGGGCATCCTTGTCGTGTTTTCGTTTCTTATATATATTTTCTATATCACTGAGCTTCACCAATTCCCCGCTCGGTTTCTCTGTCTGAACTTGATCGTGCGTTCTCTTGATCCCGCGTTTGACGTATGTCACTTCTTGTTTTGCTAACGCAACGTCGATCTTCCTGAAGTCTTTGTCCGTGAACAAGCGTTCTCTGGATATCACGGAAGCTTGAATTTTCCTTTCGGCCGTTAATTCCTCGTTTCGCTCCGTCTTCTGCTTCGATTTCTTTTCTAATTTTTGCGCCTTCTTTTGCTGCTTCGTTAAAACAGTCTTTTTTCGATTGGGAGAAACCGCCGTTTTGTCGTCAACGAAATGTGTCAACGTTTGTTTGTCAATAGGAGACGTCAATGTTTCATCTTCGCTTTCATCGGCCGCTGACTCGTCGTCGCTATTTTCTTCTTCCCCGCTACTATGACTTACATCAACCCACTCATCATCGTCCTATATTAAAGTACAAACTGTTTTATCACGCACGTAAATATCAGCGATCACATAATAAAATATCTGACAGTTTTTACTTACGTCTGAATCGCTAGTGTCGCTAGTTTCTTCAAACATCTCAACGGGCTTACCACGCAAAACTTCCGCTCCGGGTATAAATTCGCTCGCTCGAATCTCACCGTATTTCGATGGTTTTATCATAACATTGGCTTCTGTGGGACGACCTCTGTCTTTTTTACGCAGCAAATCGGGCATTATGCGTCTGAACGCTCCGATCAGGGACTGCGCGGCCATCATAACGGAGCGTTCCTTGTACTGCTTGTATCGCGTTAAATCTTCCAGTAGATCTTCGTTCATAGCCAACGGACACCGTGCACAAACTTCACGCACGGCATTCAATCTGAGCAAATTTCAAATGCAAAAAATTGCAAATTGTTTTCAATAAAAAAAAAACCCTGATCGAACACCTACCCAATTGCTATCACGTCCGCGGAATTCCTTTCAGTCACAAAGTTATTTACCAGGGTCTTCAGGACGGGCTCCAACACATCGGGTGGTACCAATTCGTGGGAGGCTTGCGCCACGAACTGTAAAAGTTTGGTAACCTCTGAAGAAAAAGACAAATGCATAACAGATCTGGACAAATATAGTTAAAAAAAAAAAAAAAAAAAATTCTTTGCTCTGATGAAGCAATTGCCTGTTGTATTTATTTAACAATTAAATTATTAATCTCACCTCGTTGATGAGGTTGAAGAAATCTCTGTATGTAAGGATAAAAGTTCAGTAGGAATAAATTGTGCAAACCAATGAGTCTGGAAACAACATCCAGAGTCATGAGCTTCACTTCGAATCTGTCGTTGTTCTTTTCGATCTGCTTGAACAATTTCTCTGCAAATTCCTGAGGATCGTGAATCAAATGCAGCGCCGAAAAATTATACTGCGGTGCGTTGGATTTTTTCTTTTTCGTTTTCTACAAAAACAAATTACAGCTAGAAGTCACGCTTTCCAAATGAAAATACATATATAAAAAAAAAAGTGTTTCCCCAGAACAAAATTTTAAACTTACTACATATAACTGTTTAACTTTCTTCAATTGTTTCTCTCGTTTCTTCGTTTTCTTGTTCACTTTGTTGGCCAGCATAACTTCCCTCATGTTTGGCTCGTCATCCGAGTCGCTATCGTCGCTGTCCTTCTCTTCGGGATCGGTCCCCAAGAAGAATTTCATGCTAGCAACTGATACTTTGGTCACCTTGGAGAAGCAACCCGTTGCTATAACATTCACCGTTTTCACGTCGTTCCACACATTTTTATTGTACAACTCTATCATAATGTCTACGGACATCTTCGCAGCTTTGGCATTGGGATCTTTCAGCATTGAAAACATGAAATTCTGCAGCACAGTGTTGACTTTGGAATTTTTATGTTTTGCATTGATATTTTTCACATCTGTGACTATGTGCGTTTGAAGAAATTGTCGCAAAATCTTATTCTGACATTTTAATAATTCGAAAAATAAACTGAGAAGCGCGGTAGGCTCGAGAAGAGATTTGTTGCGTAACTGGATCAACGCTTTGCAAAATGTCTGTAAAAACAAGGGACTTAATTACACAACGCGACAGAGAGAGACGAACGCGTTAAAAGTTAAATGACCTACCATTCGCATCTCATTGTCTAATATAACATTATGTGTTTTTAATATATCGACAATCTCTTGAGGATAAGTCTTCAGGTCGTCTGGATAACAATGAGCTACCTGTAATAATACACAAAAATTGGCATGTTCAGCAAATGCATTTTATTATCTCTCTCTCAAGTAATTAGTTTATCCAAAAATACAAAATCACACACACAATTAAAATAAATAAAAACACTCAAGTGTATTGTAAATAAATATAAATATTCAAGAAGAGATTATTTTCTACACTTAAAGTCTTAACGATACATCTTAGCTCGAACTGTTTAAAACGTACACAGACGGATAAATATTATCAAAAATAAAATGTTTTTGTATAATTTATATAGCAAATGTATTTAATTTATGCTCAAATAATGGTTAATATTGAGGCCAACTGTCTTAGCCACGACCGTAACGAAGTCTTGGCTCGCGCAACACTTAAACTTCGGCTCGTCCAATTGCAGGACGTTATCGCCGACGACGCTCAATAAACCGAGTTCGCACAAAGTAGATATCTGCGCAAGCAGATTAGCATTTATGTCCACTTTTTCGTTAAGTATGGCGCAGAAGATCGCGAGCATCCTCGAAATACCGAAAACTCGAGGTTTTCTCTGCGAATTCATCTCTTCTGTCTTTCTTTTAATCTGCTTTCTCTTTCTTCTTTTACTGTTCTGTTTCATAAAGATATGTTTATCGTACTTTATCGGAATGGACGAAGCCAAATACGCCGCGATAAGCATAAACTTCGCGTAAAATGGCAATTCGAAGCTCAGAGCCAACTTCGTCGTCGACTCGATCTCCCGAGACATTTTATGATCCGTTTCCTGCGAGAAGTCGTCCGTGGAAACTCGCAAATAAATCACTTCCAGATTGGATTTCAGCGTGGCGGAAATATTTCGCCATAGCGCGGAAACGTTATTTTGATCAATTCGCTTACTTTCTACGGGCTCTATGCACTTGACAAAATTTATTCCGGCCATGTGCCGAAGCTCATTTAAATCCCGACAAAATCGAAAAAACACAGAAAGAAACCAATTAAGATAGGTCTTGTAAAATTCCGCATTGTACTTGGCCGGTTTGTCCAGCAGTAACAATTTAGTCATTTCGTCCTTCGTGTACTGCGGAAAGTAGATCTTTACGGGCCGCAATGTGCCTATCTTGGTGTTAAATTTGTCCCACGCGATTTCGCTTATAAAAACAGTACATACATTGATACCAGATAACTCTCTGAGCTTCGAAAACGCCGATAGAAAAGTCACATCGAAATGCCTTAACTTATGACACTTATCGAACACTAATACAATCGGACGTTTATCGTCGAGACAAATATTTCTTAGCGCAAGTATGAAGTCCATAATATTGTCACAGTTATAATTCAGTGGTACGTCATTGCTGGATTTCTTTGTTTTGAATGCCGTTAGATCGTGCAGTATGTAATTGTACACATGCTTGCTGCCCAAATGCTCTATACAATTGACAAAACTGACATTGTACTTCAAATATTTAAGCAAACTTTGCACAATCAACGACTTTCCAGTGGCCATGTGACCGTACAAAAATATACACTCCGGCATTGGTTCGTTTGCCTCGCCAATCAAAGAATACAGCTGTGTTATGACTTTATCTCGGCATAAAATACTGTTCTTTGTCGCTTCTAAATACCGTTCCATGTTATATAACTAAAAATTATCCAAACAACTTGAAATGTATTCAATGTTGAGAATTTTAATTGCTTATACTCTGTATCACATCTAAGAAGAACAGAGATGAAAACAATGATGAACTGTCAACGCTGTGACACATAGAACAGCATAAATAAAGTAGTAACTTGTGTAGTTTTGATTGCTTCTATGATTTCATGATGCTAACCTGAGCCAAGAAGGTTACCAGTTCATCAAGTTTTTTATTAAACTGCGTGGGCTCTAGACGAAAGACTTCTAGTGTAGATCTATAATGTTCATGTTGCTGGAGGAACTGTGAACAAATATATTAAACACAATAATATTTTTAGATTATTAAACAATTTTATGGTTTTACAGATAATATATATATATACATATTTTATTATTTCAAACTTAATATATAAATATATTACAAAAGAACGTTAACTGAAGCTTACTTCCTCTTTGTACGATTCCGAATCACGTTTGATCAGATTCTGTAATTGTGGAAGGTTATCTGGCAATTGATTGTTATGCCTTACCATCTTTTATATGCTCAAAAAAATCTGTAAAAAATGATTATTTACAAAATATATAACAATTAAAACAAAATTATATCGCAAAAAGAATAAACACATATTATCTTACGGTATACTTAATTTTACACGATTTTTAGGTTTAAACAACACATTCGCTCTTACTCAAACTTGTTCTTGTTGTTTTCACAGTAAGATTCTGTAATTTAGCAATTCTGATTGTTGTTGTCACCGGATATCAGATTCATTTCACAAATATTTTCTATTGAACATTACTCGCATTGCAAAACCACGCGGCTCGGTGCAGTTATAACCCTTCTTAGGGTCATCACACACAAAATCACTTAGCTGCATATGCAACTTCACGCTGGATGCTTATTGGTCCAATAGTCTTAAGAGCCGTCTACAATGGAGAGTTGTAGGCCGTAATAGTAAGAAATTGACCAATCACAGACGAAGTACAGAAGAATAATCGATTGTGATTTGTCAATTTCTTACTGTTACGGCCTACAACTCTCCATTGTAGACGGCTCTTTATGTGTCATGCATATGCAGCTACACTGAGTTCAAAATGAGAAGCTTTTGCCAGTGAGAAGACTGAGAGCGACTGTCAGTCAATTTTTTCACTTCTAGATAAGTTTTCGATAACTTTATCTAGAAGATATCTTCCAAAATTGATTCTCCTTATTGGTTCTCAGAGGAATTTATCCAGAGGATAGCTTATCGAGAGGTATGAAGAAATCGGCCGTTGGACTTGTGCACATAGCAGGGAATAGAACCGCACGGTTGTGAACGTAGCACGGAATAGAACCACGTTCACGTTTGAACATAACGTACGTACCGACAAGTCGTTCGTGGACACGTGGCTACGTAGTTGTCAATGTGCACCACCCGTTGACATTGCGCAAGCTGAGCACCAACCGATACGTACGTTGAAACACAATTCTCGAGTAGGATCTTTTCGTTATTTTCTTATATCTTTATGATTTTTTCTAATTTGCAGATATTTCTTCTCTCCATTTGTTAAATTACGTTAAATGTTGAAAGATTTTGTTAATTCCGTTTAAAATCGAGATGGATGACTTTAAGGAGAAACAGACAAACGCAAATATAATTCCGAAAGAGGATGACCACGAGGAAGAAGTTATTCAGATGACAGACGAAATGGTGTTTGATACGTTTTCGGAGGACGAAGAGGAGGAAGTTGTTTCATTGGAAGATGAAGACGAGTTTACCGAAGAGGAATATCAGAAATACCTGAATGAAGAAGAAGAGATTGAAAACAAAGATGACGCGGTGCTTGTGTTTCGTGGCCACCGTCCGCAAAGTAAGCTGCAATCTTTGAACAACTCTGTGATCAATATCGACAAAAAAAGATATATTATCAATGACATTTCTATCAACAATTGCATTTTATTACACTTGTTATAGACTTTTTTTTTTTTTACAAGTCTGCGACTAATGTTGTAACGCACTGTTGTTAGATGGAGTATTTTGTTGTGCTTTGAGCAAGGACGCTCAACTAGCGGCGACAGGAGGTCAGGATGATAAAGCGTTTCTCTGGAATGCTGTCACAGGTGAGATCATCATTGAGTGTACCGGTTTTGAAGACAGCGTTATATCCGTTGGATTTAATCACAACGACAAATACATGGCTGCTGCCGACATGAGCGGCATAATAAAAGTTTGGCACATAGAAAACAAAACTTGCATCTGGCAAGTCAATATAGAAAATATTGTGGTAAGTAGTATTTGTGCGGCCGACAATAAATTTTGATATATTTGTTTGAGTGACAATCTCTCTTGGATTGGTTTTTTTTTTTTTTTATTATCTAGTGTATGCAATGGCATAAATCGAGTAATGTTTTACTAGTGGGTGTAACATCAGGAAACCTTTATATGTACAACATACCCGATGGAAATGTTAAAGTTTTTGCTCAGGGATACGGAGATCCGCTGGAGACTTTTGTCATTTTTCCTGACGGTAAGAAATGAATGTGCGTAGACTCGATCGAGATGACAAAATGTTCCGAGTTAAATTTTACAGGACTGCGCGCCGCGGTGGGATTTGAAAGCGGCAAAATTCACGTACTGGATTTAAAAACAAACACGGTGTTGAGTCGCACACCCAGCGATCCTAAGCGTTTGCACGGACATCAGTATTCCGTTCTCACCATAGACTGTCATCTAATTAATAATACGTTAATCTCGGGATCGAAGTCCGGACAGGTTATAATAAGTTCCGCAAGTACCGGCAAAGTAAGGATAATTCAATTTGCATCGTAATGTGTAATAGAAAAATGAAAGTTCACAAATGTATATTTTTATATTTACGCCTCACGATTGAATATTTCTCAGGTACTTTCTGTATTGTACGATCCAAATCCGGAGCCAGATAAGACTATTACCGTGGAGTCTGTCGTATTTAGCACGATTCCCTCCTCCTTTAACTGCGCTGCTGCTGCGATACTCGAAGACTGTAATTGGGGAAGAATTGTCATATGGGACGTCAACACATTTGTAATATCTTTTAAATTTATTTTTGCTTCTTACAAATGTCTTTACACAAAGTTCACGTAAATTGTAAAGTCGACAATTATATTTTCAGACTATCAGATATAACATATCGAAACTGCAAGGAATTTTGAAACTAATCTGGACCAACGACAACATATTGTTCGCAACGGGGATAAATGGCCCGTTACTTGGCTTTAGTGTGACGCATGGCAGTTGTAGCGCCACATTTCCAGGCCACAAGGACAAGATACTCGATTTACACATATGCGAGTGAGTGATTGATATTAATTGCGAAAGAAGTAGAGAATCTCACAAAGTACAAAATTATTATTTATCGTCGGACAAAAATGAAACGCGTGACAATTGTATTCGAGAGAACATTTATATATTATACATTTTTTATTACAACAACTTCGTCCGAATTTCATTTCTTTGTTTGGAAAATGTTTATTTTTTGGGATAGCTCTGTAGCGTGGATTTTTTTTTTTTTTCAGAAAAACAAAGAGGGCGTTGACGGTTTCGGACGATAGTACCGCGAGGATCTTTGATGTATCAGGTAATGTTCACTAATATCACGTACGTCTTCTGTTTATAAGATAATGTGTAAATCATGTATAAATAAAAATTTGAAGTTTACCTAAACTTTTCCTTGCAATTTATTTTTGTACCATTCCGCGTCAAGTTTATATCGCTCACTTTTCCAAGTGAAGTGCGTTGGCGCGTTCTCCTCGCCATTTTCGAAGTGAAAAGAAGAACTGAATTCGATAGCTAAGTTCGATCTTACCAGACCGATACCTCCTGCTTTTTCTGGCGCGGGATGATACACTCTCCCGGTGTTCACGTTCATGAACAACTTCTGCGGTTGAAACGGCACCTGCACGAAACTCACAGTGATGATTCGACCATTCTCACGGCACAAAATTTGAATCGGAGAGAAGTATTGCAAAATTTCATTCTTGTATAAATTTTGAGAATTGAAAAAAAAAAAAACTGTTCTAAATATATGTTGTGGTATTTTGAGAAAATTTTTGTTGTATATGTGAATTTTGATATATCCATCAATTTTTCTATTCTGTTTAATTGTCACTAAATTGTATCCCTTTGTTGTATTATATAGCTAATTTTGAAATATATTACCATCAACAAGTCGTCCGCGTGTGCGTAACTGAACCAATCCTCCGTCTCATTGGTTTCCGAATTATGTTTGCGAACAACTTTTGTGAAGACCAACGGCAGATCGTCGCATCTAACGTAATTTCTCTCCACGCCGCAAATCGACAGAAACGGAAACTCGTCCGTATAACGACCGGTGTTGTTCTTTCTCAGATGCTTGAAGAAGAATGCCAAGAATTTTTTATCTATAACCGGTGTATGATATTTATGTGAGCAACATTTCTTCGATAAGGGAGAAAACATTACTCAGATTGTTACCTTTGAAACACGAAGTGAAATTTCTTATGCGAACGTCATCCAGAAACAACTGTGAAACAAACGGAAACGTTATTACGGACTTTTTTTTTTTTTGTATAAAATTGTACAAAAACCTGCTTGTTCGGTTGCTAACAAAGTTGCTCTTTGATTTGAGTATGAGGATTAAGCTGAAAAATACCATGCCTTGATGATCGATGTAGTAAAAGTATTCTCGCACACGGGGCTGAGGAGACTGGCCCTGAATATACGTCGCGTAATTTTGTTGAAAAATCTTGGACCAAACGAACTTTCGCACAGGAGCGAAGGCTCCACGTGCGCACAACCTCGATGTCATTGGTTTGACACTAACTTGAATATTTATTAGATCAAACTAATATCTACCGATTGTTGAATTTTATGAACAATTGTTTGCCAATCGTTCTACTTGAGACTCGATACACAGTTCGAGAATTGCAATTGTGATTGCGATTGATTGCACGTTTTTTAATCGACCTCGAATCAGCTGAAACAGTCAACAACGCGACATACGTCATCTGGCGGCGAATAGTGCAAGAGAAAGGAAAGAATTTTGCGATATCGCGTATCAAAATTGCACAAACCGATTATCAGTACTACAGATTTCTATGTAAAATTATTCTATACAATTGTATTGCAAAGAAATTAAAACTTAATTACACATAACACGAAATAAAATAAATATATATCGTATTGTTCAAAAGACGTTCTCTTCGAGCCATCTTTTTACAATACGACTTTTGTTTCTTATCTGTAATAGATAAGACGCAAAAAAAAACTAGTGCCATCTGAAAGGAAGATTTAAAATCCATCCACCCACATGCGAGCAGACGGAAGGAGGATTGGAGAAGGACGGACGAACGGACGGACGGCGGTTGGGTGACGGAGAGAAGTTCGAGAGATGAGATACAACAACGGCACCGAGGAGAAGGAGGTGGCACTTTCCTGAGCGAGACAGGAAATCGGTTTCCGCGCTCCCAGTACATCACGTCACGTTTACTTCTCTCGGTCTTCTCGCACGTCCACGTTCTCTGCTGCGCTCGGCGGGGACGGACGACGCAACGCACAACGCGCGACACACAACGAGAGCCGCGACGCCGCGCGCCTCGACGGTGCCCGCCGCGATACCTCCGAAGCAGACCGAGACGAGAAGGCTGCCCGCTGATAAACATGTTACGTTCGCGCGACGACCGCAGCGAGAGGAGATCGTCGTCGTATGTCGCGCGCCAACCGAAATCCCGAGCCGCCGTCGTTGCGACCAAATAAGTACGCGGCACCGAACATGGCATCGTCCACGAGGAGATCCTGGAAACTCCGTAAGAACATCTCGCGAATCCACGAATCGTCATTCTCTCTCTTTTCCCCGACTCTTTTTTTTTTTTCCCCGAGAATCTCCACGTATATATCCTTTCCGTGCGGGTAAACATTTGGTGTTTACAAGTCGTTTCAACAACTGCCACTTCACGCGGTTTCTTCCAATTATGGTATTATAACAGGCTCAGTCAAGGATTTGTCCCGCGGCTGAGAGAATGAAAAGTCGTTTCTCGCGCGTTTGGCGCAGATGACTCGAACACTGAATTAACCGAGTTGTCTCGTTTTGTCGAACAATGAATAAATTTTGTTTGCGCGCAGAATTTGTGTTCTGCGCGCCTTTTAAAAAAAATATGACACGGAAAACAACGTCTACATAGATTGTTTTGACGCTTGATCGAAATGAGTGTGTAAAAGTGTATTTTTTTAAAAATTTTACTTTTGTTTTTAATAAATATTTAAAATAGAAATTTTGTTTTAAAAATAGTTACTCTTACGTGTGCTGTTTTACTTGAATTTTTAAATTTGTATTTATAGTTTGCAAATGTGAGAAATGGTAATTTGTATTACTTTAGTTTCAGAATAACTTTGAATATTTGCTACGTGTATCTTTTATTCATCAAATTTAACGTGAATAAATTAGTTTGTGTGTACGCAATGTAAACCATATGTAAAATTGATGTGTTATTTCTTTTTCTCACGTACAGAGGAGTTTGTCGCCCATACGCCAAATGTCAATTGCTTAGCGTTGGGCCATAAATCTGGTCGAGTATTGGTCACAGGTGGCGATGACAAAAAAGTCAATCTATGGGCTGTTGGAAAGCAGAGTTGTATCATAGTAATTATCATGCATTTACTTTGAATTTAAAAAATAAAAAAAATAAAGTGTAACAAAAATAAATATGATCTGATTGTTTGTTTTGTAGAGTTTGAGTAATCACACTACCCCCATAGAGTGTGTGCGCTTCAATCAAACGGAAGATCTGGTATGTGCCGGCTCGCAAACAGGAGCGCTGAAGATCTGGGATTTGGAGCAAGCCAAATTGGTGCGCACATTGACCGGACACAAGTCCGGAATACGTTGCATGGACTTTCATCCGTACGGAGAACTGTTGGCTTCTGGGAGTTCGGATACAGCCATTAAATTATGGGACATTCGCAGGAAAGGCTGCATCTTTACGTACAAGGGACACAACAAAACCGTGAACAGCTTGAAGTTCAGTCCTGATGGACAGTGGATCGCGAGTGCGGGGGAGGAAGGAATGGTCAAGGTAAATCAGATAATTCTCTCAAGGTACATTGAAACAAAAAAACTGGATGTTACTCGTGTCTCTTGTTTATTTCAAAATCTATCATCTTACATATATTACATTTCTTTCTTCTTTCGTGCTATTTCACGCGTGAGAAAAGATTATTGATGCTTGTGTTATTTTTAAATCAGCTGTGGGACCTAAAGGCCGGTAGACAACTAAGGGAATTTTCAGAACACAGAGGTCCGGCCACAACCGTCGAGTTCCATCCTCACGAATTTTTGTTAGCAAGCGGCAGTGCCGACCGAACGGTTCACTTTTGGGACTTGGAGTCATTTCAGCTTGTATCTTCCACAGAGCCATCAAATTCAGCCATTCGGTAAGTCAGGATAATAATTTAAGCATTTATGTTATTCGATTTTGCCATATTGATCTTTCTTTTGCCGTTTTAGGTGCCTCTATTTCAGTCAAGGTGGAGAATGTCTGTTCGCCGGCAGTCAGGACGTCTTGAAGGTTTATGGCTGGGAACCGGGCAGGACCCTGGACACAATACCGACTGGCTGGGGAAGAGTTCAGGACATAGCTGTAGCTCAAAATCAATTGGTGAAGATATATATGAAAATTATTTTTATATATTTGTAACATGTACATCAGTATCGCGTTTATTAAAATATCAAATGATTTTTTGTAGATTGGTGCGAGTTTTCACACCGCGAATGTCATCTTGTACGGGTGCGACTTGAAGAAGGTCGCACCGCTCGGAGGAATAACCAGCGTGAGTTCGCCGTTCAGTCACGGTAATTCTCTGAGGAAAAGTTTTTCCAGGGAACGACCGGTCGGACTAAAAAAACACACGTGCGTGTTTCACAGATATTCGATTTTTAATTAAGTCAAATAAGATATCAGGCAAATATGTCGATCGTTACAATTTATATATATTTACGCGTCTTTGCAGAATGGATGTGCGAACAATAGAAGAAGCAGAGAAGTCCGGTACAGATCCGGAAGACGAGGCCACCTACGCGGACATACCTAATGTGACCGAGTATAGAAATATCTTTCAGCCGACCAGGGCGTGTAAGTAACTCGCCATATCCGTCCTGTAATGTTTCATTGTTCACTGAGTCTGCGACAAAAATCTCTATCTCTTTCTCTCCTTTCCGTCCTAACATTTGAGTTTCTTTCGCAATCGCTAACACACGACTAAACACACTTTTGCCGTATACACACACGATCGTTTCACGTTCACACATCTAAACAGTGAGAATGCAGTGCTGTATATAGTTTGTGAATGAGCATGCCGCGCATGATATGTTTCAGTGTCTCGCACACCACCTCCCGAATCCTCCGAGGCTTTCCAGGAGCCTCACGAAATAGGTAAGTTTGTGTGATAACCTTTGCACAAATCGAAAGATTTACTTGAATAGCAGCGGTATAAAGTTTTGATGAAAATTTTGTCTGGCGTTCGATTGTGTTGCTGAATATTTTAAAAAACCAAAACCACTGTTATAAGCATTTGCATGTGGATGTGTGTTGGACGCAAATAACAACAAAATATAAATGTTCGGAAGATCCGACGAGTGTACGAATGTATGTTCGGTTTATTTTAGATCCAGCGCAGCCGCAGATACTGCAAAATCTCTCTACCTCAATGTCAAACCTGAGCACAATCGAGCGCGAGAAGTCGCCTGTGCCGTCGTCCTCCTCACCGCCTCCGCCGTCGTTATCTCTCACGAAGCCGATGCCAGTGCGCGTTCAACCGATCAAGTCGTCGCCACCGGTTCAGAGAAACGCGATCACGACGACAAGTCAGATCAGAGCGAATCTACAGGCGAACAATAATCTGAATCAGCGCGCGTCCAAAAACTTCGCGTCTATACCGCCGTTGCGACAGAACATCACTCCTCTTCCGGGAAAGAGAGTGAGCTCGAACGATCAATTGCTGACGCCTCCTCAACTACCGGGACCGCAGAGATCGAATTCGACTTTGACGCCGCGCGTCGCCCCAATGGCCGCGGTCATACCCGTGATGGACGACGGCAAGATCAAGAACAGAGTACCTAGCCCGGATTCTCCGAAACACTATTTGAAGAGGCAGAGTAGCAGAGACGGGGAGCAGGGATATGAAAGCGATTATCCTGTACAGTAAGCGCATCCAATTATATTATGAATACGATAAATGTCGTTGTATTTAAATACTTTTTTTTTTTATTAAATGCAATATAATCCATATAATCGTGGACTAATTATAATCATTTTTAACTTAAATTTAATTAAGTTTCGTACATTTTGCGTTGCAGAATTAATAGTATAAGACACAGTCCTTCGGATCCCGCGTTAAACAGGCCGAACACCGCGCAGTCGAGATCGACATCGCTCAATCGAAACTTCGCCACCTCGACGATGCTGTCGGCGCGCAACGTTTCCACGTCCACGAGGAAATTGCCAAACAAAGCGCAGATACCACCGAATCCGAAGATAGACATACGCGTCTCACAGATACGAGGTAACGTCGACGACGCGGAGAGGGACGAGCTGGTGCCAATGAGCGCTGACAAACCTTACGGCTTGGACGTAGACAATTTCTTACCGGTAAACAAATTTCTTCTAAGAATCAAACGATCAAAGCATAAAATTGAGATTACAGATCGATCGCAGTTAATAATTTTCTTGCTGGCGAACACGAAACGCAAATAAGAATTAAAAACTTTGTTTTATTTCTATAAAAATCTGTCGCAGCAAATATACATATAATTTCCTATCTGAAATATCTGTTGCAGCACAGTTACACCGGTTCCACGTCCTTGGGCTACTCCCAGATGGGCGTGTTAACGGAGATGTCCGAGGCCGAGGTGTTGAACAGCATGATGCGAAGCCACGAGTCCATGATGGCGATATTCAAGAGTCGGCATCGTTCGTTGCAGATCGTATATTCCCTCTGGCACAACAAAGATCTCAAGGTAATCTATCCGCTTCGCGCAAAAAAAAATTTGTTGCACCGTTGAAAGATAAGAAACAATACGAATTGATTTCAGGCCGCGGTCGAGTCTGCGGTCGCGATGAACGATCTGGCGGTCATTGTGGATCTCCTCGGTATCCTCACGTTAAAACCGTACGTAGCTTCTTTGATTCTTGCGATTGAAAAAGAACACCATATCTATACTCGTTAATAATTATTGCCAATTATTGTATTTTTCATTCGCAGAACGATGTGGAACTTGGACCTGTGCAATTCCTTGCTCGGTCCCATTAGCGATCTCCTTCAAAGTAAATACGAAATGTAAGTAGGATTTACATTTTTTCTATAGTTTTTTTTTTTTTTTTTTTTTTCTAAGAAATAAAAATCTCGAATCGCCGCTCTCGAGTTTTCGAGTTCTGTAAATTTTTTTTACGTTTTGAATCTGTTGCTTATGATGACGGATGATTCGCGTTTGCATCACATTATCACGTCACCTACATATTTAGAAGTGACACACGGTAAATATTCATCGCGTCGCAGTTTTGCCCCACGCGCGCTTCGGCATCTATTTATCTTTCCGAGTTTTACTTCACCTTCAATGGCGAAACGCAACGCGTCGCGTCGAGATCAATCGAGACGTCTCTTTTTCTCGAAAGGGGTCCAAGCGCGCGTTGCTCTCGCCCGGGTTTGAAACGGGTCTATGGGAATGGCTAATTCGCTGCGGCGGGGAAATTCGAAGCGGCCGTTGGGGCGGCTCGGCGAAATTAGCCGAAACAATGGGAGAGAGATAGCGACAGATGCAAATGCGAGTACGGGACGCGCGAGTCCTTTCCCGTAGCGCGGCCGAGTCGTATTGTTCGCAAAGCGAATTGAAATCTGAAGTGCCGCACGCTCTCGCATATGCGCGACGCGATGACAGGCGGTGTCCGAGTGTCATCTTAAATATCAAAACGGCTGACATTGATCACGAATGTAAATTCGTCGGGAGTCGGATAATGTCGTGATTGAAAATAACGGACATTTACTAGAAGTTGAGAGAGAGAAAAGAAATATATTTTACATATTGTGAAGTTCCAACACACACCGGAGAGTCACATTTTTGAAGAAAATTTTTTAATAAAAAAATTCCATAAGATTTTAAAAACTTCTGAATTTCGAAATTAAAGAAGTTTACGTGCTGATTAGCTTTTTTGTCATAATTTGATACACAATATTGTTGTCATAATTATATACGTATGTTAATTTTGATGTTGCAAAGTGACGTTACATTTATGTTCGCAAGTTCAAACCGTTTTTCTCGTCACACACGCGTCACTTCCTGCACGTTTGGCTAATAAATCCAAGGAAGGAGGGGGGGCGGAAGTTTGTGTCTTTTATGCTCGTTTGACGTATGAAAGTGGACGATTAACCGCCTGGCCCTCAGTTCCAAGCTGTTGCACAGTCGTGGATGAGAAACCAACTATTTCCTTCCGCGTTTTGTATCAGGAAATATACACACAATTGCTTTATAATTGAGCTGTTTGCGTAATTAATCGCCGAAATCTTTCTCTCTCTCTTTCTCTCTCTCTTTCATGAAAGAGAAAAGATGCCTAATTTCAATGGATTAATAGCGACACATATACATTAGCATTTAACACCGTGAAAAATAAATTCGAAATAATTACCTGCCGTTTTACAGCTGTTGTTCACGGGGTCAGTTGTAACAACGAAATCGTTTTCGCCACTGACTTATTTCACTTGAAAGTGTCTAAAGCTTCTTATAAAATGTTTTTAGTGATTTTTTTTGAAATCTAAAAATACGATAAGAGTAATCTTTAAATAATCGAAATTAATGTCCACATGTGGTTCTAAAGAAAATATAATTTTTAGAGTGGCGATGTTTTGATTTATAGATTCGGATTTCGCGAAATTTTCGATGGGAGATCAACGACGAGTAAATATACACATCTCGGACGTCGTATTATGTAGTGGCAGTTTGCATATATAGTTTGCCTGCTCTTCGTTTTCACGCCTCGTTCGTTACGGCCTTTCGTCCTGGACCAGTTGGACCTCGTGAGAAAAAAAAATGTTGTCGATCAGAATGCCCGAACGCGTGTCGTCACGAGACAGGAGGGAGAGATTTCGGCCCCGCCTGGATCGTTTTCCGATTTTACGATTGCTCCCCCCCCCCCCACATCTTTGTCTTTTTTTTATTGTTCATAATTTTCTTTTGCTGTTTTTCGAAAACATATTTTCTTCAGCAAAATATCGAAAATGTAAAAAATATCGTGTCCGAGTTTCATTGTTTTTAAATTATTTTTAGTAAAACTTTTGAAGAAGAGCCTTTTGTCTCCCCCTAAAAGTGCGTGTACGGAGTGTCGGTTTCCCATTTTGTTACAAGCCGTGTAAAATAATCCATTGTACGGGATCCATACGATTGTCGTGGACGCGCGTCGCATTTATGAGACCGCTTTTCCCGATTCGTCTCGCCGATCTGTACGGGAGCAGAACCTCGAACCCTTTATCGTCCGTCTCGAAAGCGAGAGCATGCTGAATCGCAAGCGGGCAAGCCGCCTTTCGTGCCTTTCGTTATTTATTAGCGTCGTTAGCGGGGGCCTAATAACACCCATTTTATCAAGCGGACCAGGCGTGACCGGTTCGGCTGTTGCGAGATTGCCCGTGGTTTCTATCGGCCGACTGTTCGCGTCCATCCTGCCTTTTAAAGGTCCCCGTTTCTATACAACTCTCTATGAGCGATCCCGTTAAATAAATAAATGTTTTTTAATACTAGTTTTAATATAATACTAGTTTGTTTTAAACAATTAAATTACACTACTCTCAAGAACGCGATTATCAAATAATAAATATATCACAAATTTTAAATATTTATATTTTATCACATATTTTTAATATTAAATTTAATATTTGTTTTTTTTGAAATATGTTACATTTGACTTCAGGTACATAACGGTAGCTTGTACGGCGCTGAGACTTATTCTTCGTAACTTCTCTCCGGTGATCAAGTCCAACGTAGAAGCGCCTCTTCACACAATCGGCGTTGATGTGTCGCGAGAGGAACGGTGAGTCTTGTGAAATGGGAGGTCTTACGCGACATACGTTCTGTACGTTATTACTGAACTTCAAGAACCGTTTTGTTTTGTTTTTTTTTTTTTAGATATCACAAGTGTCTCTCCTGTTTTGAGAAGCTCATGGCAATACGAGCGGTGCTGCTGAAGAAGCAATCGACGTCCGGCAAGCTCGGCGCCACGTTCCGCGAGTTGGCGGTGCTCATCAGGAGCCTCGAGTGACCGCGGTCGCGTCGTCTCGAGATCCTCGTGAATTCGATCGCCAATATCGTCGTTACGTAGTCAATGACCGATTTTTTTTTCGACAACAAAGTCTGTCGGAAATCAGGATAAGGAGTGCCGCGTTATCGCGACCGTTTAACGGCGGCGCAAAATGAATCCTGTGGAGAAACAGCGATCAGATTAACTCACGGTTCAGGCCACCGCCTCATATCGAGGACACTTCCGTGAAATCGCGAATTCTGTCCGCTGTCTTCTTCTACACCGCCATCGGTCGTTCCGCTTGCCGATCACCTCCTCGTCGTTGCGTCCGCCGTAGTCGTGCCAGTCCTCGAGAAAAAATAAACAAGACGTTTGTTTGGAAGGAAATGCGAACGAATTGCCTCGATATCGTTGAAGCGAAGAAAGAGAGAAACGGAAGAAAAAAAAGAGTTGATGAAAAAGATGAGAAAAAAAAAAAGAAATTAGAATGAAGTTTGAAGAGCAGTTATGCTGATATCAAGTACATTTAAAATGGCGCATTCGGTTTTTTTAGGGATTTCTTTCCTCCTGTGATCTTTGTTCGGAGTTCAAATCAAATTGTTCTTTAGAAACCTTAATTCAATAAATTCTTAATGTATTATTGTAGTATTTTTAAAGCAATAAATAAAAATTATATTGAGGTTTGTAAAGAACAACTCTTTAATTGAATAACAAGAATGTGAGAAAATTAAAAAGGGAATTTTTTTTTTGCTTTAGCGAAGATATTTTTATCTATATTTATATATAAACAAAAATAGCAATAGTATGTATCATAATTCCGATTTTTTGTTTTCGATCGTTTTATTCATGCAAATCGGCTGTGGGCAATGTTTGGTAACAAGTGTCAGTTTGCTCGACGAAATGTTTGATTAGCACAAAGATGTAGTTTCGCTACAACAATTTTTTGCGCGGACAACGTGGTCCGACGTGGTTTTGCGCCCTTCTTGCCACAAAGATACAAACATGTACGTGATCATCGAAACGATCCACGGCAGGATCGGCCTCGATTGTGGGAGGCGATATATACGGCGATTGTAACTCGATAATAAGCGAAATAACGACTCTAAAAAATAAGATATTTAGGTAACGTGTAACATCTTTCCTAATGTACGAGAGAAATTGTATTTTTGCAAGAGGTATTTGCGTCCGTTCGCTAATAAAATAACTCTAACTTGTAGGCGTAGATACCTTGATTCCTGGAGATAAATCGTATAAGAGATGTAATCTGAAAAAAAAAAAAAACAAAACAAAAAAAATAACAAAGAAGAGCCTATAACGAAAAGAATCGGACTCGACAGAGAGAGAGAATGCATGTGTCGAAACGAACGATTCACTTTCTACGCGCATTTAAATTTATTTTTTTACGTGAGTATTCGTGGGAAATTTGTGAATATTTTTATCGGACGGTTAACACACACGGTAACGCGATTATTTAATAAAAATGTCTAACAAAGATAAATGTCGACGCGAAGCGTCACTGCTGCGTGTATTAACAGAAGTGCGCTTTTTAAAAATATATCTTTAAAAAACCTTTTTATACTCCAAATATTATCGTTAAATAAACGTTTTTAATCAGTGTCGAGAGGAACGGTAGAAGAACGAAACAAACACATATATCCCGGAGACAATACATTGTTCTTGTGAAAGTTTATTTTTTCTCTGCCATGTTATTTATTATTATAAGTTTTTGTTATATTTCGTTATGATGAGCTGAAAGGCGATGTGATTGTGACTAGACAAGAGCAGTATTAATTTGAGCACTGTATTAAAACAATTTTTTATCAAGTAGGTTTTGTGTGTAATACAAATCAGATTGTTCGAAAAACAGTATTGATAAAAGTATTACGACAATCATTAAGATATTATTATTACAGAACGTTTTTTATTCTTGCCTAATTAACGTTTACTGCATCTCTTGATTTAAACAGTTTTTATTAAAGGGATAAAAGATAAACTAGATTAATTAATTTACACTCGCGACAAACACAGTCTTTTATCTCATCACGACGATGTCTTATTCGTCTCTGTGTATTATAAATCGTAATTTATATTCCATTATATTTAAAATTGTGTTTCGATTTTAATATGATAATTTAAAGGTATAATATATTTGTACTCTCTGCGACATGTTGATGAACAGCGAAAAGTACTGATTGCGCGTTTTTACAAACTTATTCGACATTTTATAAATTTTTCCACGTGTAATACAATTTAAAAAAATATTATCTTATATGACATTATTTTTTCAGTGAAATAGCATAAAATTTAAAGTCACGTATTGTGTGTATCAGACTATTACAAAGTAGCAGACATTGATGGAAAAAAGATAAATACGATTGTTTTATTTGTTCTCGTCGTCGTGATAACGTTTTTTTTATTAGTGATTTTATATTTGCATGTATTATATTTAAATTTATAAATTTTCACTGTCTCCCTTTTCCGCAAAATCGCGCGATTCATTCAGCTCTCCCTTCCAATGTGTAATAAGAAAAAATGATCCTTTCGTAGAAAATTTATTTATCGTTTACGCATATAGAAGAAGTGCAATATTTGATTGTGCGCGATCGTCGATCGCGAAACATATTTTCTCCGAGAGAGAAAAATGTGCGCTAAAGAAGAAAGCGAAGCGACGTGTGTCTCTGTGAGAACGTGAGTTTTTTTTCTAACACGTCGCATCTTTCTCTCAAAGTATTATTGCGCAATAAAATGTACAATGTTTTTGTTAAGTTTCATCGTCTTCTTTTGTTTATTTAACTTAAAAAGTATTACCGCAGTATATGCACATCTTTTTGAATAATATATCTTTTATATCCTTTTTTCATATATTGATCAAAAGCTTGCATCATGCGAGGAGTTATTGTCTCCGACAAAAAATAGCTTCCTGTTCTTTATTGCGGACGCAAAAAATCCGAGACAAAAATCTGTTTTCCATTTTTACACACACACACAAATGTGTTTGCCGTTTTTATTCTTCTCGATATACTTTTTTTTTGTATCACTTTTACTTTTTTGACACGTCTGTGAAACCATTCCTTTGCTTTCCAACAATTTTTGCAAACTGCAATTTGCCAAGCAATTTTCAAGCAAAGAATGAAACTTCGTAGTTGAAGGGAGGGAAGTGTTCGCTCAAACCTCCGATCGTGTAGTTATTATTAATAATTGCTTTTGAAACGAGAGAGGAAGTGTATATTATATTTACGAGGAATATACTCGTCAGTTCCGTCCAATGTATTTTTATAAAGGAATGATGAAAAGAGAGAAAAAGAGGAAGTGTGCATGTCGCGCGTGTCTTTTTGAATGCTCTTGTGTAATATATTGTGTAATTTGTCGCTCCCCGATATACATATATATATATCGGTACGTTCGAGAGAACGCGACCGATTTTTAACTCAAGCTTACGCTCATACACATGATGCGGGATCGATCGCGGTTCTCGATTGCGATAGAGAGAAAGCGCTCCCAAAGGTGTAAATTTTATTAGTAGATATAACAATATAACGTCGACAGTTCATTCGAAATGTGCGAAATTTTACTTTGTTTTTAAATAGAGCTGAGGATAATCGAGGTTATCCGGGTCTCGTTACCCGGTCCGGAAATGATCAGCCCTAGTTTTTAATCTATTTCTCAGTTGAATTATTTTATATATGCCGCACATTTTTGTCGCATATAGCAAAGTTTTTATTCTCGTTTTATTCGATACACATTTAAGTTTATACTGCGTTCCCATTGTTTTTAACAATGCAATAACAATAAATCGTATTATTTATTCTCCTGCGTTTGTGTTTGGTTTCCATACATTTCCTATGATTTTTTTTTTTTTTTTCATCGAATCATCGTAGCTTTGTGATTCGCAAGTATAATTCTCGAGATAAAGTTATCGAGAAATATATCGGAATAAACTTGTGATAATAAAACGGGAGGATCGTATGAGCGTTGGCTGTCACGTCACTCGATATATATATTATACCTCTGTCTATTTTACAAAACAACCATAAAGTTGTGGCACTAATTATCGAGCTGTAGATTAGCCTAGTGAAACGTCCTAACTTTTCGGGATGGAAAAAGTGAAGAGACGAGGTGAAAAATGACAAATTTTTGATAAATATGTCTTTGTAAATATGTTACAGTTATTACAATCCTATTTTATACTCACGCGATGCGTATATCGTCGCAATTATTGTTGCATCGCGTGTATTTTTGTCACCTTGTGTAAATACCACCGGGACTTCTGTTTCATATCACACTTTTCTCAAGCAATTAGTATTAAACTGTGTATTTGGTCTATCTATCGACTCTATTCTGAATATATAATGTCAACCGACGACGAATCTTCGCAATTTGCGATATTATCTATATTCTGTATAAACATATATAAGCGTATATCGTACAAAAGAGAATTCGGCGAGATCTTTTCTCACACCCCGATTGCGTACAATCGACTAATCCGATCTCTCGATTGCGACTTTGCATACTTTGATTTCATTCGAGTACGTAATTCGCTTTGGTATTTACGAGTGTTTAAAAAAATATACAACGTATGTGTACGCGCAGTGCAGCAACCGCACACCTCGTTCTAACTGCAGTCCGATCGAAGGCTGTCTCCGCGCTATTAATTACCTGGTAATTAATGGAGAGGCCGTTTAATGTAAAGAAAAGTGTCCGTCAGTCATCTCATATGATTATTCTCATTGAACCTCACAACTGCCTTAATAATAACCTTCTAACTGACAGTTTTTGTCGGCGCTGTCAAACGTGTAATAATAATAGTTAAGCTTACCATATGTTTTCGATCAATAATAATAATACTCTTTGACAAAAAAAAATACTCTCACGCCAATTACATATCTTTTCCCGATCAATTTTTTTTTCGAATTTCATTCTGAAAACTAAAAAAAAACAGAAATAAAAACTGAAAAAAATATTCAACATAAGTTTCTTTCTGCCTTTTCATTTTCCAGTCAACGCTTTTGCTATCGCTAACACGTTGCTGTTTCACAAAAGTTTAAATAGTTTTTTGTGAATCGCAAAGACGTCGATAATCCGCGCTATCGAATCTCTCATCCATCAATGCCATTTTTTTATCGCGTCAAAAAAAAAAAAAAAAAAAACGAGCCGTCGACTCGAACTATCTGTATTTGCATCGAAAATCCGCATCGTTTCTTCAGATCAAATCCTTATCGCGATCGACCTTTTTTTTTTTTTTTTGCGTAATCATGTAATAATCACGAGAATAATAAGTACAAGACGGAATAGAAAAGACAAACGTGCAATACACACGTAAATACAAGGCAGGATTTTTATGCGCGTTCTCTTTGTAACGTGTTCAGAAATAAAACGGTGAGAACGAAAGGATTGAGATCTAACACATAAGGCACAGGGGTCACGTACGACATTCTAGAACAACACCGTGAAAAATAGTGCAAATACTCGCGCTTCTAATCCGTGAAATATCGCGACCGTTTAAATCGAGGCGCGCGTGGCGCGGCTGTTTGCATCTGGATTATATATTCATGGGATTACACACGGGGGGACACCCTTCCCCGGGTGTGTTGTCCACCGACAACCCTTCATCGAGATATCCGGCTCCGCGATATCGAAAGCCCGTGATCCTCCTCGCGAGGATTGATTCATCAAATCAGGCCGTGAAATCTTTTCATAATGTTACGCAGTAACATTATGATGTGTCAAATGCTATTCATACGCGCTTGGAACGTAATTTCCATTGCGAAGCAAATCCTGTTTTCAAAATATTTATTTATTTCAAACTTTGCAAAACAATCCTTCACAAAATCTTCAATTTTTGTTGTTTAAATATGTATATAAATAAATTGTACATATATAAGTTAATACATATATAAACGCGGTGTTCCTCACGGGGGGGGGGGGGGACGGATTTCCTCCGAGAGGAAGATCTCGATAAGAGACAGCCATTGCACAGTAACGAAGACGCTGACTGTGTGAGAAGAAGAAGAGACCCGCGGCGCATTTTCTCGTATATACAAAAAAAAAGAAAATCAAAGACCAGTAGTAGGAGACTGCTTTCAGCGAGAAAGCGAAGCTTGTGTTGTTGTACAATGCATCTTCTGGACGCGGAAGCGTTCGTCTCCCTCGTTTATGTTTCACGTTGATACACACTCGATGCCGTGTATCGGTATCGCTTTCCGACGGTCCCGGGGATAATCCGCTTACGCAGGTTCTTCTTTTTGCCCGGTACACTCGCTTTTCTCGTCGTTTTACCGTCCTTCTTCGTGAATACACACGGCACATTGTTGCCGGCGTATTGTGAGAAAACAGCATTTTCGACGCTCGAGGTGGCGACAAGAAGAGGGACTTAAACTCATCACTATGTCACAACAATTCGGCGGCGTTCGCGTGGGAGGACAACGCGCCTACGTGCACCTGACGCGCGTCGTATTTGCACGAAGGACATTTTTCGATTGCGTGCGAATCAGACGACAGACAATGATTATGTGTGGAATCAATTATGACGAATAATCGGAAAATTGTGTTGTGCAATATCTGAAAAAAAAAAACTGAAAGATCGATTTTTCGCGCGAAACACAGTTTTAATATGATCCTTTGATCCTATGATCCTTTTCAATCCGCGCAGAAGTTGATTACTATCGAAAAGTTACGATATAAGTAAAAAATATTAACTTATATATATTAAATAATAATGATATAAAAAAATAATGTACTCGCTGTTGCAAAATGACAATGGTTCTTGAAAAAATCGAATAAAAATCGAATAAATTGCTTCCGTCCTTGGAATGGAAATCCTGATAATTGCCGAACATCTCGCGAACTGACGTGCCGTCATTCTTCGAGCGCACGCGATAGTGCGCGACGCACGCGATGCGCAACGTTCGCTCGTTTGTCATGTAAATAATGTGCCTCTCTGCTAGGTCCCAAAACTGAAAAGGGGCTTGAACGGAACACAGAAACGAAGGGAGATGGACAGAGAGAGGATCGAGGGGAGAGGGTGTTTCAGGACGCGCCGAAGTAAAAAGGCACAGAACGAGCGAAAATAGAGAACGCGAGGGACAATGCGCGCCGCTCGCGTAGAGCGGCGCACACAGAGGAATGGGAGAAAAGGAGGGAGAGAGGGAGGAAAAGAGGAAATTCGAAGGGTGGCGCGCACTATTGTTGCCTTTTCTGTCTCTCACCCCGCCGTGCAATCTGGACACACACGCGCGCGCATGCAACCGAGATCGCGCGCGCGCTTGCAAAAATCATTGGCTCGTAAGCGTAATCGGGTCCGAGGGGGTGACGGCTCGGCTCTCACCCTTGCGAGATCGGATTGGCTAATTACCGAGGGAGACGCAGCGGTGACGTCACTGGGCGTGCTCGCGACGCGATTGGCCAACGCACGACGAAGGGTGGCAGACACCCCTCGTCTCTATTTTTGTGAGATTCATCCGCCTCCGTCTCTTTCCGTTGCACGCGGAAGGGTGAGTCGCGGAAGGGTCGCGACGAGAAAGGTGGAAAGGTTCCGACGGTGTGGAACGCGTAAACGGGGCGGAAGGGCGGGACCGTTCGCCTAGGGGGTACGGTTAATCGATAGGGTCCCGTTTCTCGTGGAGAGGGATGGGATTTCCGTACCGAGAAAATTCAATCTTTACTCAGACTGCAGATACTTCTGCTTTTTAAAAATACAAGTTAACTTAAAAAAAATATATACCTGTATATTGATCTTGTTAAGTTTTGCGACTACGTGTCTGCTTCC